AATGAATGTATTTCAACAATTACAAATTACACAATTCATGCAGGTACAAACTAAGTTAATTCCCGTACGTTATGGCACTTCAGATAATTAACATAGAACATCTCTTATTCAAAAAACTGTTTCAGTTTCCTTTCAAATGAAACGCAAATGATTTGGAAGAGTCAAGTATCAATAATATATAATTCACATTATATAAGATAAAAAAACTTATATGCACTATTGGATGTCTTAAAATTCTGAAAATTGGCGAGTTTCTTGAAATTTATAAAAACAAAATTTGTTTAATATACAATTAATGAGCAAATTTGAATTATACAAAAGATTAGAAAGCTTGACCAATGCAAAGTAATTTTAAGATCATCATGAAAAAAAAACCCGTATTTGATAAAAATGATTGGGAACAAATAACGATTAGGTGAGCAGTGGTTGGAGTAAGGTAAATATGGTACCATGCATGGAACGACCCAGACCAACCAATAAATCTTTTTCTCGTCTCACAACTTTCAACATTTCCTCAACATTATGCAAACTAACAGTATCCATTCGCAAGCGTAATTCAACTTCCGTTGCCCGGTCGCACAGCTTTGTTATGGCATCGTGAATCAAAGCACGGGAGCCACTCCTGAAAGCATATCATTTATTTATATGCAAAGATAAAATTAAAATGAAAAAATGAAATTAAAATAAACTTGTTTTTTCCCTCGTAAATGTCACTACAATTACTTCTTCCCATGGAACGATAAAAAATTTCTCAGATATTGATATTAATTTGATCGTTTTATTGTAGGAAAATCATAGAATACAATTTCTGTCATGAATTTTATGAACATCCTTATACCTTGTTATTAAATTGGTGAGATGAATATTCAGGTCTTTTAGGATATGCTGCGCTTCTTCCAGAGTTTTCGATCCCGCTACCAATGCAAATTTTTTTGTTAACATGGCTTGCAACTGAAATCATCTCATTTATAACTATAGATATTATCATTTGTTAGAGGAATATAATTTCTCTTTGTTTGCATATAAAAATTAGATCAAAAACATACATGTGTGAAAAAAATTTCTGATATTGCCGTTAACGGTTGTGCAATAAAACATATTAAGTGATTTAGCCTTTGCCGACTAATGTTAAGTTCCTTCATCGTAGCTACTGAAAATATTTTAACTGAAAATATTGAGAAAAAAAATTTTATTTATTTCAAAATGTAATTACTCATTAGAAAAGAGCTTAATACCTCCAGAGGTTGTTAATGCAATTAAATAATCACGTCAACACGACTCAGCAGACAAAATACACATAGTGAGTCATTGCGGTGATATCACAAATAAAACAGTTATAAAAAGATAAAGCACGAAGACTTACAATCTATTCTAACTGCTGATAAGGCCTCTTGTGCCTGTAATAGTCGCAACAAAAACCGAAGACACAGATTGAGGGTGGAAAGAAATTTGTCCTCTATCAAATAATACATTGGCCAGGAAAGCTAAAATAAAAATTTCACTAATTACGAAATCAAAATTTATTAGTGTCGTGATTACGCTTCTGAAACAATACGTACAAAAGCTATTTTCTGTTGATGAGAAATGTAACTTTACATATACTGTTCCACATTCTCCATACATAAGGTAATAAATTTTAGAAATAAAATGCTCCTTTAAATTTTGCATTTTTTCAAAATCGAATTAATAATAATCAACACCAAAAAACCTGTGGTTTTATTACTAGATCATCCAGAAGACCACTATCACAAAAAACAGTCCATCTTTCGCAAACTTCAGGTGGAAAACCAGATAGCTGCAAGCTATTTTGAAAAGATAATACTATGCTGCAGTGTTGAGAGATACGCGTTGCTCCAAATAAATCAAATGCCATTTCGCGCACCGCGAAACCCGTATAAACTGACTGAAAATTATTCCGGAATAAAAGCTAACACAACTTTGATGCTCATTTAGCGTTAAATTCGATGGAATGAGAGTATGTAATAGCAACATCGTATCAAGACATCATTATTGTAGAACTAAACTTGATCTTAAAATGAAAGATGAACTAGACTAACCTCAATCTCTTTCAAAACTTGAGATAATGCATCGTTTTCTAAAACACAACGAAAAAGAAGAGAAGAGTTATTTTTTGCACATCTCTCACATGCATATTCCATGCTTCGTGTAATTTTTTGCGCGGTAATAAAGCAACAATCATCTTTCAACCGTAGAGCTTTCTTCAAGTAAACCGAAAATTCTAAAATAAATTTGACGGTAGAATAGAAACTCTGGAAAAATTAGAAAAGTAAGGACTATTCACTTAATTAGATTACATTGGTTTCATTGTTATTAGTAATTTATTTACTAATTGTCTTATCTGTCGCTATCACCAATTTTAATTTACCCAACAAGTCATATCGAAATATTAAAAAACTGAATAGATCTCTATACTTCTAAACTACGTTACCAATAGCTGGCGATCGACAAGTAAAGATCGTCAAAAAGATTTTTAATTTAATCTAAGCTTACTATTAGGTGCTTCGTAATCATAATTACCACTGCGCAAACGGCGAGCATTCAAAGCACCATTTTCTACATATTTGATTAGAAGTTTAGACCAAAATAAGCAATGCGTCCGCCTTGTTTGAATTAATCCATTGTCTTTCACACTAGAATTTTATGAGTGATTTTATGAGTTTCAGTTTGAAAATTATATCCTTCATTTTGATTCTAAAATTCATGATGATTATTGCACATAAGTAGGACATTTTATGACAAGAAGTGTAACCTCTGAAAAATGAATTCGTTTTCAAGCACCGGATCAATTTCACCCGTAGTGAATAAACGATCAAAATACCGTTCGAAAATTGCTAAAACAGCTTGCTGCAATCGTCCAATAACTTGTTTCTGAAGAAAATATCACATCTAAAAATAATTTCTCATTGAAATAAATGTGCATAAAATTATACCACAGGATGTGGCCGTAATTCCGCATAAAGAATTGTTGCTAGAAAACGATCTAGAAAGCAATCGACAGTTCCATAATTCCAAATGCCAGCAGTGATAATCACAGATAAGCTGTTATAAACAATAGAAAGTGTTAGAAGTTCATCACGAATTGAATGCAAAAGAGTACGTAAATCTGAAAATTAAACAAATGCATTTCATCCTGTTAACTGCATGTGCATAATATTGCCAATAAAATAGATGAAGATAAGAATTCAATTCACCTAAGTTAATCACTTTATTTCTGGTGTTTATATCTTCCAAAAATACTCCTTTCAAAGTACAAAAAAAAACCTTTCAGTAACAACGAAATATTGAATTAAACTTAGTGCTTCAAAATTTAGATATTAAGATTAATTAGAGTCTAACTTTGAAAGCTATAAACAAAAATACATTAAGCTTACTTAACATATTGTTACTATAAAGTTCTCCAACAGCTCGAGTGTGCCTACTTAAAAAGTCCAGAACGAATTCCTGAAGAACTTGTTCGACCTGCGAATGGACATGATCTTTTTGACTGAAAGTTATCAATGCTATGAGTTGAGTATGTGCTTCCAGAAATGGTTCTACATAAGTACCAATCTGAAATAGTGGTAGTCCTTTTGTTGCTTTTCTGAATATATATGCATGATTCATAAAAAGAATGAATTCTAATAGAAATATCAACGCCCAGAATATCCTCTAATAGTACCTTTATTTAGATAAAGATTTAACAAAATCTGTATTTGAAGAAAAAAAACAGAGATTTGCTTCCGAAAAACATTTAACAACAATCATAAATTGCTTATTTTGTTATTTAATAAATAATTAAGTGATTACTTCGGTCTGCTCCAGGATTCCATCACTGAGGTAATAACTGCCATCCAATTCATAACTACCACATAGTTTCGGTATCAAAAATGAACAATTCCTGTTAACATCCAACAATCTGAAATATTCAAATAGAAATTTGGAAAACCTGAAATAAAATTATTAGTTTCAAATGGTAATCAAAAGTAGAATGAAAAACATTAAGAAATTGGAAAAAAATCTAATACAGCGTTTTTACAGATGCCAATCTAATTAAGCCAAAATACTGGCCAAATGTGGGAAGTTGAATCGTGATTTAATTTAGGTGGTTCAACTTTCAATTCATTTCATGGAATTAAACTTTTAATTGAAATTACAAGTACGAAAAAAATATCTCTACTACATAATTCTTTACCACATCGTAATGCATGGACCGTTTAGGCTGATGGTGAATAAAATATGAATTCCGGAATATACAAAACAAAATGAATACTTAATTATCGATTTTGAGAATAAAACCTCGACTTTTTCCAATTCTATAATAGATATCTGATCTCACACTATCCTTAGATCAAAATTTTGGTATCAGCAAACAAATTAAGCATTCTACTTAATAACGTATAAATGAAAATATAAATGCTCAAATAAATAAATAAGCAAATAAATAAAATTTCGCCTTAAAAGATGATTGATAAGTTCTTGTTCCGTGATCTTAACTCTGTGTTTTGAAGATCTGAAATATGATATAGTAAGTCCTAAAGATTGAAAAATTAAATAATTCTACAGCAATAAACGCAATTTAGCAACAAATTTATCAGGGATATCGAATATGATTTGATCAACAGTATGATACACTTCGAAAAACTAAACCTTATCATATATTTTGCAAATTGTACGCGATTGATACATACCAAACCGCAAAAATTTTTACACAGAGAACAAAATATCAAAAAAAAGGGCCAACAATGTGACTGGAATTGCAAAACTAACCATTTCTACATTTTAATTAGCTGAATATCAAAATAAAATTGAAAATACTGACCTTTTCTCAAGAACTCTGAGAACGTTTCTGGTGTTATTCATCAGTATATTATCTTCGATGCTCACCCGGAATGCCTGTACACCATGAGGGATATTTAACCGATTGGATTCATTTGACACATCAATCTGCCACTTTCCTCCTCTTTCTACAACGGCTACATGACGTATAAGTCTTGGTGTTACTGCTTCATTGACATTCTGAATTCGCAATAAGATTATTAATTGTTCCTTAACGAAATAGCAAATTTAATATTTCAATTACAAATTTAATATTTCAACTTGATTGTTTTAATCGTAATTCCATTTTCCACTGTTCAATCTAATAGTTGTGAATAAAATAAATAGAAAAAAAAATTTAATCATAATTTGAATCTTTGACTTAATCCAACATCTCAAGGAATCAACAATATAACGCATATATGCAATTTGCTTAAAATTCCATGATCCATTAAAAGTAATGAAATAATAATGAACGAACAAATATCTTTAATAAATCAAATATTTAAATGTATATTTGTAAAATTTCTTTTTTTTTTCAACCATTGATTTTCGGAAAAAATTTTCAAAGGAATCGAATCATAATAGCGTGTACATACCTCATCATCCGAATCTTGCTCCTTCATCCAGTTATTCAATACACACACACAGCTAACTGTTACGAGAAACTGAAATTTAAAATTGCTTGCACAAGCGTTAATAAAAAGGAAACTGTGGAAGAACATGAATTCAATGAGAAATTTAAATAAATTTTAATATATCATAGATTAAGAGTAGAAAAAAATACAATAAAACATTCAGCTAAAAAAAAAACCGTTACGATAATAGTCCGAAATTATAGCATTATATTATCAAAAACTAAAAATAAACAAAAAAATCACATGTTTTTGTATTATTAACGATGAAGAGAAGGATGAGATATAATAGGATAGAGATTGATAAAGGTTGTAAAATATGCAAAACTAAGAGTGTAAAAGATTGAAAAAAAATCTCTGCTCTATAATACAGTGTGAGATTGAGAATAAGGAAAAAAGCAGCTCTTAAATAGTTCCTTTTGTGATGACTTCTGAACTAAAATATTTCACTGAAGTGAGGGAAATAGCGAGCAGGTTGGAGTTTGAGTAACGATCGCAAAAAGCATCAATACCGCATAAGTTGTTTTTGAGTTAGCTTTTTCATATTAGCCGGGTTGGATTGATTGTTTGGTGCGGATGGATCAGGAGGAATTGATGCTGTAAATATTTCTTACATTTTTCTTACTTTACATTTTTCTCACTTTTGAAGCATATTTCTCGCATGTTAACCTTCTATGCTTAAGCAGTAATAATATCGTGTCAGATATCCTTCTCCATCATCTTTCTCTCGCTTTTTTTTCGATCCCATTCTTCAGAATTTAATGTTTATGGTTTTTTGTGTGTTTTGTGAATTCCATATCAAACATATTTTATTAATTATGCATACATATTATGGTATTGAAAGTTTCTCGTCAAATTATCTTACGATTAGCATAATTTTGATTATAAACTCATCTAGCTATAGCATATCCTTCTTCGAGTATTGACATGTCCGGAGCAATCTATGATTCAATATCAGCACGAGGTATCAAGTCAGGTAAATGACACACTTTTAAACTATTTGAAAAGCTATATAAGAAACTACTCGTACAAGCAGATAAAGAGCTCATCTTGATTTCATTGGATGAAATATTTCAATAAATTTTTGTTATTGTTTTTTCTAGATTTGAAGTTTACATTGTTTTCTCACGATATCTGAAAGATACGAGTATAAATAACTACTGTTTTCTGAAATCTTTTTTAGACAATTTTATTGCAGATATGAACTACCGACGAAGCACCAGTGAACCACTTAAACGATTTACAGAAGCCAAAACTAGCATTGGTGATATTTACAATGAGTTAGAAACCTACATCACGGATCTTTCACTTTTCTATGACGGTATGTTTCGTATTAATTAATGTGATTTTTTATATTCAACCACAATCCGAGAATATTTTTTGTGGTTAGAAAATTTTCTAATGTTATCAGTGAAACATGATTCCGAATCCTTTCTTTGAGGAAGGTTTAACGTGTAACACCGCACACCGTACTGTGACACCGTACTTCTGCACACCGCACGATAAGAGTGGAAAAATTTTCTCAGTTTTTGTCTAACGAATGCTCTGGAAATCAGATGTCGATGTTTAATTTTTGTGTATTGAATTTAGAAATTCTGAATGACAATGGAAATGTGCCAGATGAACAGATGCAAGAAGTTGCACGCTTCAAGGAGAGTATAAAAACAATTCGTGATATGTTTATGCGTGATACTATGAAAGTTGTTTTCTTTGGAAGGTAAACTTTCTATTCAACAATATTGTAATATATTCACGAAATTTATCCCACATTATGCAAACATTTGTAAAAACCTTGACGATAATTTTTTCCCTCCAGAACAAGTAATGGCAAAAGCTCGGTGATTAATGCTATGTTGCATGCAAAAGTGCTGCCACAAGGAATGGGACACACCACTTGCTGCTTCTTACAAGTAAATCTTTTCATTTATATTTTTTACTCTGATTTGAGACCTTTCCAAAAGACATATGCAGAAATCTGAATCTTACAGCAGAATGCAATCAAAATCGATTAAAATTATGAAGTTATAGGTGGAGGGAAGCCAAGATGATCAAAAATTTGTTTTAAATGAAGATTCATCGGAACGGATGGACATCGAACAGTTGCAAAAAATAGGACATGCAATGAGTGATAGTAATGTTTCACTTTCTGCCATGGGCCAGGACTCACTTTTACGTGTCTTTTATCCCAAATCAGAATCACGTTTACTTCAGAACGATGTTGTTATTGTCGACAGGTTATCTTTTCTTTTCGGCTTCTTACTGTCTATTTTATGGTTATATTTTAAGGAACAATTCAAACAAAAATGACCAATAAGAGAAAAAGAACTTTCGATCAAAATCACTATAAAATTTTTTAGCCCTGGCGTAGATTTATCACCGGAATTTGATAGTTGGATTGACAAACATTGCATGGATGCGGATGTCTTCGTTTTGGTTTGTAATGCAGAATCGACTCTTACACAAGCTGAGAAAAGTTTTTTCCATCGAGTGAGTTCAAAGCTGAGCAGGCCGAATATTTTCATCCTTAACAATCGCTGGGATGCAAGTGCAACAGAAGTGGAAAATATGCAACAGGTTGAAAAGTTGAGTTGGTGTTTGTTGAGTTGTGTTTGTTGAGATAGTGTTTTGTTGAGTTGGCTTGTTGCATTTATTCGGTTGTATCTTTTTTCTCAGTTTTGCTAGAAATTACTTAATTTTAACTTGCGTAAATTTTAACTTGCTTACTCATCAATTTTTGTTGGGCTTACAACCAGACAGAAGGTTTGCAACAAAGGCTTCTTGATTTTCTTAAAATGTGCTAGATTATTTTAAGACTATTTTTTAAATTCTTGATTTATATTACTCATTTAGTTGCGCTTCTTTCAATTAATTTCATTAAGAGAATGATGATGTGAAATTTCACCCGTTTAGCTGTCCTCTATTTGGAATTTTTCGTGTGAAATTTATTTCGTTTTTGTTCTAGAAAAGTAAACTCCATGTTTCTAGTATTTTTTCTTTTTTTACTTGATATTTTCTGTGCTTCTGTATTTTTGTGCTGAGTGTTTCTTGTTATTTATAATGTTATCTCACTGCTAATGTTATTTCACTGCTTTATTTCAGATCCGAGAACAGCATATGACGCGATTTAAGCAATTTCTTGTAAGTGAACTCAAAGTATGTAGTGAAGCAGAAGCCACTAATCGCATATTTTTCATATCAGCGCGTGAAATGTTGGATATTCGGTTGAAAGAACGAGGTGTAATACATCACGGTTAGATTTTTTTGCTTTTTATACTTTTTATATTTAAAAAGTTCAAATACTTCTCACCAAAATTTCTGACTAACACTGAACTCTTCTGTAACAAATTTTTCATGAAAAAGTTCAGCAAAATAAATTTTAACAAATTGTTCAGTTTCAGCTTATCAAGTTGAGGGACATCAGTATCGTGCGATGGAATTTTGTAATTTCGAGACACAGTTTGAGGTAGGAATGGGTATAATGAAAAACTGACATTATACGGACATTATAAAAAAGAAAGAAAGAGAAAGGAGGAAAGAGTAGATGGGAAAATAAAGAAAGAAAAACATATATCTCATTACGCGAGGCACTTCTTACAATTTCAGCAACTGATCTCGAAATCTGCCATCAGCACTAAATTTGAGGCTCATGCGTGGAGAGCTCGCGAAATTGTGGGAGAAATGAAAAAAAATCTGGATATTGTACAAGAGAGTACTCTCAAACGAAAGTAAATTTGAATAGATTTTTATATTCACATTCTTGGATATCCAAAATTCTCTTTAATATTAAAGACATTTTTTCTTGTATTTAAAAGCGGCTGTTATTTTAAATAAGAAAATTTACAATTCTTCTTCATGTAGCTTAACTAGTTTGCATTGCTGTTCTGTTATTTGTGATTGACCCTGGACAACATGTAACATTGCTCTCTTGATCCAGTCATTTAATCACTACTGTAGTTTTCTAGTATTAGAGGTAGAAATGAGTAAGACAGATTTTTTTTTATTTCGAAAGCTCATTCAAATGTAGGTTAGCATCGATCATCGATATTTTTTAAATTAAACAGCTAGTTTTCTTTGTTTTTGTTGAAATCATTATTTTCTATGATTTTCAGAACTGAGTTGCAGTTGGCCTATACAAACAAGGAAACAATATTTAAGGAATGTTTAAATAACTGGAAGGAATTCGAGCGATTTGCTGTTGTTGAATCACAAAGATTGAGAAATGAAGTATACTTGTTATTTTATTTATGAAATGTTTAATTTTTTTAAGATTGTTAATTTTGAAGATTTTTATCATAATAAGTAGTATTTCTTTGTATCTGAATTACTGAAACCGCATTTTTTCAGGTTCATTTGAAAGTGTCAGCGGATTTCTATGAGGAAATGCAAAAGTTGGAGTCAATTATCGATAGATTCGATAACAAATTCGTTGACGATCCTGTTTCCATTGGAGAATATAAAAAGGTTAGTTTCAGTTGTTAGGTAAAAAAGGTAAGTTTCAGTTGTCAGTGATTTACTTGACAAATCAATTACTTTCTACCATGCTATTCTCACTGGAAGTATCTTGCAGGATTTGGCAGATTTTGTGGATAAAATTGTGACGGAAAATTTAGAAGCACGCTGCACCAGAGGTCTTATGCAACGTATTTGGAATTTGGAAAATTCCATGTATTGTGCGTTTTTATGATACGTCTTACAGTTAAACATGCATTTTTTTAATATTTATCCCTTTAAAGAATGTTCTTACATTAATTTCATATTTTATCTAGGCAGTTTAGTTCTTTTTATAAAATTTGATGAAGCGTTTAGCAGTTTAGTTGCTATTAAATATGAATTAAAATAATTTTAAATTTTGAACACCTTCGCTTAGATTTCTAGTTAATACAGTCTGTAGTTTCATTTCAGTGCATGTTAACCAGATACTCACTGAACCATATACTAGAAAACTGGAACAGGTATTAGCTTTTTTAAACAATTTATGAACTAAATCTCGTAGAAACTCGGCAATTGCATAGTATTAATATATCTATTGTCTTGATGTCAGATTTTATAATGTCTAACAGCTTATTTTTCCAAATTCCTGAACAAAATTCTATAACAGCTGAAGCATGAAAATTGTTCAAATAATGTTTATCATATTTGTTGGAAATAATTTTTTGTTCTCAGATTTGGCGATATCGACCTCCATTCAATTTTTCAATCTGCATCAACTGTCCATCGTTGATGCAAGACTTTCGAGAAGATTTGGAATTCCGATTTTCCTTCGGAATTACAGCGATCATTAGACGGATCAATGCATATCGTTTAGGAAAACCTGTAACCGCTGTTGGCAGCCAACCATTACTTGATGTTTTCGTGAGTTTTTTGAAGTTGACGAGGACAAATTGCAACTAGGTAGCTCTATTAACAAAAAGTTTGATTTATTATCATTGCATATAAAAGACTGAGACTTATCTAAAAAAATTATCAGATTTCAATTAATAAAAAATTCTGCCTCACTTGAACAACATTTATAATCAATCTCTTTCTGATGACTTCATAAAGGCTTTCCGACTTCCTGGAACTTTACAATGTATCAGTAATATAATAACAAAGCATATAATACTTCTTTTAATCTTGGTGTAAAATAATATTTCAGAAAAGTTATAATAAGCAAACAAACATAGAAGCTGGAGAGGGAACTATGCAGCAAAATTGTCATGAAGAAATGCAAATGGTGACAGCTGCTGAATCACAGGAAAATGCTCTAATGGCTCAACTTTTGCTTTCCTCGATTGGTTATGTTGCTAATGGTGGACTTGGTCTTCTTGTTATAGGCGGAATAGTTAGTTTTCGATGCTTTTCGATAGAATAATTTCATTTTTATTAATAATATCACATTAGTTGGCAGATAACTGCGTATTGTTGTTAGATATTGACAATGTTTAAATTTACATATTTATTTAACACACTTCTTTTTTACTCTGCGTATCAATGTTTAAAATTTATTTCAAAATTCAACCATTTCTACGGCAATTATACTGTAGAAATGGTTGAATTTTTTATAATTGTGGAGTTTTTTTAGGTTTCTAAGGCAGTTAGTTGGCGTTTTATCGCTGCTGGAGTAGCGCTCTATAGTGGTTTGTATGCTATAGAGTACTGGCGTTGGAATTCTGGTGCAAAAGAGCAGCATTTAAAAGATCAGTTTCGACATCATCTAAGTGCGAGAATGCGTAGTGTTGCAACTACACATACAATGCACTGTGAAACACAAGTGCTGAGGTCAGTGTAGTTGAATTCAGTCTAAAGAAAATACGTTTGAAACTATATCCATTTAATGTATCACTTGGCATGGAAGTCTTCCACGCTGAACATTTCACAGCTTTTAATTGAGAATTTCTAATTTGAAATTTTTCTCATTAAATGTTGTGAATATTTAATACAATTTTTATCTAACTCATGATTGGATTAAAGAAAGTACTAATGCGATTGGCATAAGATTGATGCTGTTTATCTTTAATTGAATTGTCACACAAGACTGTGCAGAAGGGATGGTAGATTAGTGTTTACGAATTAAATGTTGTATGCTTATCTATATTAGTTATTATTCACTCATTCAGAAAAATATTAACTGTACATTTTATATCATTATATTAATCTTAACCTTTTAAAGGGAAATGCAACAGGTGCTTGGTGGTTTAAAAAGTACAGTAGGTGGAGTGCATCAGGAAATGAAGACAGAGCTTGATGATATGCGAAAAGAAATTGGGAAGATCGATCATGTTACCAAAGGACTTAATACAATAAAGTAAGCTTCTTGTTACATTTTTCCTTCTAATTGTTGTAGAAGGATAATAAGAGAGGAATATTGTTCAAGGTGATCTTAGAATAATAAGTAGAATATCTTGATAGGTAGTATTTGGATGGTTTTTGATTTATTTTAGCTAATGTCAATGGAAATCATGCAAAATTTTCTAGCTCAAATGCTACTTTTGGAATATTCTTTGTGCAGGTTTTTCAAGTTTCTATCCATATCATCATTTGTAAAAGAAATGAAATAATTAGTCATTGAAATCCTTGGTAATTTTTTACATGCTAAATTAAGTTCAGTTGTAAAAATGTAATGGAGTTTGAATATTGCAGAGGGAAAGCATCATTTCTGAATACAGATCTGGACCGTTTCGAAAGTGAATTTTTGAAAAATAGTTCACATTCACCAGTACTTCAGCAATGAAATTTGTGGAATATATTCATTTTTATTGTATATTATTCGTTGGCCTGATTTGAAAGTTTCAAGCATTTTTAATGGTTTTACTTTTCAGCAGAATTTCGGAATAAGTATAAACAGAAAAATTAGACGCGATACATCTTACTCTTTACTGGAATTATTTTCCTTTCACGTCATTGAAAATAGAAATGCAATAATCTGCTTGTTTAACTAACTGATCTTTTCTTTCTAGGCACTTCCTAGTTTTTTGATTTTTTGTGCCTTTTCTCTTGCGGGTCAGTGTATTTGCTTTTAGAGTTCTTTTTTCTCATTTTTTTACAATTTTTTTTTTACTTAGATTGTATTCGAAATTATTTGATAATTGTTTCATCAATTTAGATTCGAATTCCGTTTAAAATTTGTTTTGTTTTGTTGAATGTCATAAACTTTTTTCTCATCGAAGAATTGTATTATCTTAATTTTTGTCAAGTAATTCATTATTTAGATTTTTTATTTCGATTGATTTATGCTTAGAAAACTCAACAACAAAAAAAGTGTAGGTATGATTTTTTCTTTTCAATTGAATATCCGATTATATGATGAAGTTTGTTTAGAAACAATTTTAGTGCGTATGTTTAAGAGCATTTTTTGTCGAAATAAACAAGAAAAGTGCAGTGGCTGCATCTTACTATTTGAGAGTAACATTCATGGTAAAACGATGGATTTCTCCTGATAATGTTTATAGCATTGCGATGAAGTGGTTGAAGGAAGATTTGATGCTAATAATGATAATCGTAACAGTGTTGATGATGATTAAAAGCCGACTAATAACGAATGAAACAATAATCTGATGATTTTAGTAGAAATAGAGTGATAATTGCAGCTGTTGTAGCTTTAGTAATAGCAATATTAATGAGGATGTTTAGCAGTGAGACTAACCAACGTGTTTATCACTTTGACAATCAATTTCTTCGATAAATAGCTTTTGTGGTGCAAAGCTTCACTAACCGTACAGCTGACATTTAAACTTTCCAATTGATCTATTAATCGGTTGAACTTTCGGATGTTTGCTAATAATATAATAGAGGATGTGAAGCATCATTGGTTAGAATTGATCAAATTTTTATCCATACTATCTGGTCAATATGTTAAAGCTATTTCTGCAACCTGTTTCTTTGCAAGCGATTTTTTCCATTTTATATATCTAATTTGGTTTTCTTTCTGTTTAATATAGCAGGATAAAGCCTATTTAATTGTTTCATCTGATTTAAAAAAAAAAATTAGAAGATTTAATTGTAAGAAAAAGTATTCTTTTGATTTATTTGATTTGATAAAATCATTTATATAGTGTATCATTTCTGTCATATCCTTTCTTAGATAGTTTAATAAATTAAACAGAATTTCAAAACTTCAAATTTTTTAATGTGTCCCATTACTGTTCTGATAATAAATAGTTATACTGCACATTTTAATTTGACATGAATTAGTGAATTTAAATGAAATAGGAAAAAAGTAATGAATGAAATTTGCTTAGTGTTTTTGTCATTTTTATTTTGTAAACACAATATGGAAAATGATTACAGTAAAATTTGCAAATCAAAAAAAAAAAATTAGAAGATTTAATTGTAATAAAAGGTATTCTTTTGATTTATTTTCTCACTTATCATTTCGAGGTATAGGATTGCAACTTTTCTTTTTTTTCCGATCATTTGTGAATTGATATTTTAGAATGAAAAAGTAAATTCATATTTTCACCTTTTTTTTTTTCCTTTTTAGCCCAATTAAAATAATGCAGTGGATCAATTTGTCACAATATCTACCAATATCTTTGATATTAATCATTTTCATCATTCTTGGCCTTAACCATCTTTGTTTTACTTCACTTATAAGTCCCACTAATTTTCAACAGGTTGGTTAATTCAATTTTTCAATAGCATAGTTTATTTGTTGTAAAATAATTCTCATATGATTAATGATTATTTTCTTAGGGTATAACTGAAATTAGCCTATTTCGTTCAGCGATCAATTGTACATTAATTGTTATTGCACCGTTAATATTTGTTCTACCTGCATCTTCCGGTAAATTGTATCATTTTAATTGATGATAATTAAGAAAATTTTTACGCATTATTAAAGTGAATTTATAAAAAGAAATATTCTTTTTTTGAAAATAATTTTTATGTAGGAAAATATTCAAAATAATATCAAATTTTTTAGCTTATTTTTGCTTAATATAAATATTTTTTTGTCAAATTTAGTTTACGCAATCTTTCAGTTATACAATGAATTGAGTTGAATAATTTATTTTCATTCTGGAATACGTGTTAATTAGCAAAATTGTGATGGCAAAATTTTCATGAAATTATGCATATGGTAAAGCTATTGATAGTATTAAATGATTTTTTAAAACAAAAAAGTACTAAATTTTTGTTTTTAGAATTTAAAATGCTTCATTTATTACAGCTGAATTTATTATACAGTATTTATTGGGCTATGGATGTGCTGCGATATTAGCAATTTTGTTAATTAGTCCGATACTACACTATAATCCATCACCTAGCATATGTCACTATATTAAATTACGATTCAATCAATCATTTCGTATGTCTGAAAAAAATAAAATTCAAAATATCTTTACAGTTATAATTTGGCTTATTATTATTTAAACGATTTCATTAATAAAATTTCAGGAAAAACTGTTTTTTTTTTCTAAACTAGTAAAAAATATTTGCTGAAATTTTTTCATTGTTAAACTTTGTTTTAATCTTACAATTAAAATATTTTTTGTTGAAATTTTACTAAATCATCAATAATTATCTAATAATAAAATTTTGCATAATAAAAAATCATAAGTTTTACTCATTCATATAAATGATAGATATTACTAAGAAAATAAGTTATTTAATCGTTTTTCAGTGTACATGTTTGTATGTATATTAAATGTAATTTTTTTGATAATATTATCTGTGGTATTACTGATAATGACAGTATCACTTATCACTCCAACATCCTTTTTATCACCTTACAAAATATGTATTGCACTGGGATATATTGGCATTTTTGCGATTGCTTTTGGTGGGCAAACAAGCGTTTCTTCCAATATCTTCTTTGCGTCAACTTGTGTAAGAAAATGAAATAAACTTTTTTTTTCTCAAACTTTAATTCAATTTAAAAAATTTTTAAGTCAAATTTTTTGAACAATTTCTACTTCTCAAATTTCAATTCAAATTTTAAATTTTTACCTAATAATGGTAAGAAAAAGATTGACTGTAAATATGACAAAATAAATATATTTGAAATTTGAATAGAAAACAATTTTACTATTGGAAATTAAAAAGAAGCAAATTGAAATGCGTGTTAAATTTATTAATAATAATGAAATTTTTATAAAATCTAAAATTTAGCTAACAATGCTAGGAATTTCATTCATAACATTTGATGGTCTCACAGATCATCTGTACTATTTCTCTGATATTATATTCTCCGCTGATTATTTATCATTCGATTCATGGACTGCATTTTATTTGGGTATCTTAAACGGTTTACATCTTCTTATCACCAGTCCATTATTATATCAGGTTATCATTATTGATATTGCACTAATGATTAATTAGTTTGCTCAAAATAAATATTATTTGCAAGAATTGCTATCAATCAATTATTATAACAAATTAACAATAATTGATTGATAGCAATTTATTTACATTGATAGAACGTGCATCTTCTTGAGCAAATCTCGATTGACATTTTGCAACCAATCGTAAATGATTTTAATTAATCAGTTTACTGATTGATTGATTGATAGGATCAAAGAAATTGATCATATTTATAGTTAATGACTTTATTGTTAATGAAAAATTTTGCAGCAATATTTCTCGCTCTCATCATGTCATCGTTTACGTGAATCATTGACTATTCACGTAGGAATTTTTGGTCTTTTAACTGTCGCAATCCTTTTATCACCCAAATTATTTGCTAATAAGATTAATTGGTTTTGTCCAACAATTTTATTTCCAATTTTTAAAATAAACCAGGAAAATATGTCAGAGAAAATGGATAATGAATTAATTCCACTACTGATCATTGCAATTTTATCACTTATTACTTCATTTGGTATCATTCTAATACAGCTCACTTTGATAAATTTGATTTGGGAAGATTTCTTACGCCTACGGCTTATACGACGTCCATTACAGCAACAAATTGGATCAATACAGGTCAATTTTTTTTAACAATTTGATTGTTTAGCAATGCCGAATTAGTAAATCTTCTAAACCACTAGGCTAAAAATTTTAAATTTTTTGTGTTGATATTAATGAAAATGAGTTAGCTCGAATCGAATAAAAATTAAATTTGAATTAATTTTAGATTGGTTTACTAATAATTGGAAGTATAATTGTTGCAGTATCAAATGTATGGCTCTATTTGGATAAACCATTAAGATATGGGCCAATATCGTTGCTAATTTTAAGATTAGTTTTTTAAACAAATTATTTCAAAATTTTATCAAATATTTAAGAAGAAATAGAAGTATATCATTGTATCTTAGCTATATCAATTGCTTAATACAAACAAAAAAAATTTAATCAGGTATCTATTTAATGAATGTACAGATTATCAGTAATTGAATTTCATTTTAATTCAATATTTAAATCATATTTTAGCACTTTAGTAGCTCCGATGACAGCACTTTACACCTGTAGCTATCTTTTTCCATTCATGAATGGAAAAGGTGCTATCACTGGCTTATTTATTGGTATTTTCGGTGCATTAACTCTACTGTACCTGTACTTTCGCATTACACCTCTTCGATTTCATCATTTCCCAATGCCATGCCTTAATGGAACATCAATTTCATATTCATTAATATTACCTAATAACGAATTTACATATACGGAATTGGATTTTGTTCCAACAGCATTACAAACGATAACTAATAATGCACAAAAATTGCTACCAATTTTTTCTGAAATACCAATTTCATGGTATCCATTAGCTACATTTATGGTAAGTAATTAATTGTTCATAATTAATTATCTTAAATAAATTTTTGAAAACCATCACATTCAACTCTTATAATCTTCCTTTCACTCAACAAAAACAAAATTCCTCATCAATGAGCGTTTTTTCTCGCCTGTTTATATATCAGTCAGAAATTTCAAGGTAGCATTACTATCATATAAGTTTGTTTGTAAATTTGCATATACAAAAATATTCAGTTCATTTTTTTTTCAATAATTTAACTAGTGTGGAATGTAAATTTTTGTCAAATTGAGCTATTTTGTTATATTCAATTTATAATAAGATTAATAATTAGAATTAAAACATTTTAACTGATATCAGTTCCTCGTTGAGAGATGATAACATTTGACAGCTTGCTTATCATTTTATCTTTTCTTTTTAATTTGAGTAACATTTATAGACCGCTGCATTATCAATGCTACTTGTATCATTGTGTACAAGTAGCAATAATACTGATGAATTTGATTGGAAATTGATAATATGTGGATCATATATTGGAACATTTACACATCGCAGTGATAATACAACCAGCAATGATAAACATGTAGCTTTCATAGAATGCGAATCATTTCGGTTATTTTTTAATTTATTCAAAATTTAAATCAAATTTCATTGCAATTAGTTTGAAAAAAAAAGATTCTGTTTTCTGACACAAAATAAAAGTGTAAAATGTTATAAAATTCAAAAAAAATTTGTATTGTTTAATTGGTTTAATTTACAGATATGCTCAACAAACAACATATCCGGATACAGTAACCACTGCTACACATATAATTAGATGATTATTACTTGGAAATTCTACTTTCATACATTGTTAATAGCTAATATATTATTATTACTAAAATGATTATTATGATAATGTCTTTGCTTGTTGTAAACTTTTTTTCGTTTCATTTTTCTTTAATCTGAATCATTAGAAATTTCTCAATTGAATATGAATACTTCCGAAGTATTGAATTCAAATTAAATCTTAGCATCATTTCTTTCTTCTTTTCATAGTGTTTTTGTTTTTGTTAATGTTTTACACTGTAATTTTGAATATTTTTTATATTCGAAAATTATTGATTGTTGTAGTAGCAAATCAATTTTAAAAAAGATCAATTGAAAAAGAAAAATTGTATAATGAATTAAAATGAGAAATGTCACTGAGAGACAATCTATCACATTTTGTTCGAATCAGATAAAAGCTTTATTACAAATTATTATCATTCTTACCAGAATTTAACTGGATTAAATTAAAATTTTTGAAAGAACTTCCAATTTCATTAAATTAAGTTTGAGAAGATAATTTAAAAAAAAAAAGAAAGCAGAAAGATGGAACTTACACATTAAATCACTGAAAAATATCTAAAATCACGTATGACGTGTAATCAAACATGGTGATTCAGTCAATTCGATAATAACTTCATATAAAATAAGTAAAAATAACCATAATATAAAAAGTTAAATAAGAAAGAAATAAAAGAAAGAAAAATTAAATAAAAATTAGTGAATGAAAATTTAATTAAAATCATTGAATGAAGAGTTAATTAAAATTATGGAATGGAAGGAAAAGATATATGTGAAAAGTATTACAGATGGATTGATTGAAATGATTGAAAAGAATGGAAATGGGAAAGATTCGTAAGTTTGATTTCATTCAATTTCTTCTATCCTTAACACAGACTGTCCTTTGTAACGAGTATAGGTGATCGGGAATTCTCCCGGAAAGAGAGTTGCTTGTGAATGATAATTGAGGATGGGATGATGAAATGGAAATGATGTGCAGAATGGTTGAATGAAATGTGGTTCAATAAGATGTTTATCAAAATTTGGATTGAAATATGGAGAAGAGATGATTGATGGTGAAGATTGCGAAGTTGGAAGTGATGATAAATGCAACCGTGATAACGATAATAGCTGTGGTTGAATGGATAGCGATGGAAATGTTTGCTGTGATGATAATAGTTGAATTTTAATATTACCAGGAATGGGCAATAGTGATGGTTGATAATTTTGAGTATCAGCAAATCGGGTTGAAATTTCAGTACCAATGATTACTGGAATTTCAATTGGTGTACATTCGTTGAGTACTATTGATAAGTGATAGGATGAATTAATAAGTGCATCTGGATGCGAATAAGTTGGAAATGCATTATTTGGTATCTGAAAAATTCTTATTTAAATTCTCGAAAACATTTTAGTTTATCTCTTTTGAAGGATAAAAAAAGACTGCAGTGTAAGCTTCGTATCAACTTTTTCAATTTCGATAAATTTCTTAATTCATGAATCTTTTCTTTTTTTAAATGAGATTTGTTTAAGTTCGTAAATTGTATTAAATTCATTATTTTTTATCAAAACATATTTGGCTTTTTGGGAAGAAGGATTATTCGAGAAATGGGAATTATTTTTCAAAAAAATTAAGCTATTTTTTCATTTGGTGCAATTAATTTCTTTTCCCAAAAATAGCACGAGCATAAAGGATGTAATATGATATTGAAACTTTATGCCTTGATTTTTTATCTAAAACTTTTTAAATATGAGAAAAGTTCTAAGCATTTATTAAAAAATTAAATGACAATTTAAGCAAAAATTCATCAAATACTTGCAAACAGCATTGAAATTCGATAATGGAACATTGTGGAATCAGTGGAAGTGTAAAATATGATAGCGTTGCATTCCTATAAAATTGACAAACATTTGCTGAATATTTTAAAATAAATCACCGATTGTTTCTTCAATACTTTGATTCATATAAATTAAATCAAACATCTTCTCGAGTTGTTATTTTTTTTCAAGATTTAAAGTACATGTCAAAAATTATTTCATTTATTTGAAAAGAAATATCATAGCATATTACTAAAAACGGAAATGGTATCCGCAATTGATCACAGGCATATCATTCAATCGGTATTTGAAGAATGGAAACAAAAAAATTAACAGGTATTTAAAGAAAAAAAGGATTTTCATTATTATTTTGTTCATTTTGTTCAAATCAGAACTTGATTAATTGGAATTTGGTTATTTCCTGTTAAAATAGTTATTTACTTTTTTAGCATTAACAAAAAAGCATTACTTTGTTTTCAAATTTAAGAAGAAAAAAGAGAGCAAACAAAAAAAAAAGAACATAAAATAAAATTTTTGACAGATAAAATAACAAATAAAATTATTTCTTACAATTATTTGGGAAAAAAATTGGACTAACGTAAATTTTTCGTTGTTTTTACAACGAAATCGTACAACCATGACAAGTTCAACAATACCATTTTTGATTGGATTTTTTGGATGTTCATTACTAATTTTACCATTTATAACAATCGATTCACCTACGAATATCACTAATTATATAAATAATCGAATTATTTTACTCATTAAGAAATCAAATGTTTAACTATTAATTTATTGCTTGCTCTATAGTTCATTAGCTCATTTTTCATCATTTCTTTTTTATTGATGAAATTACTAACGGCAAATGTTCGTTGAATTATTTATATCAATATACTATTGCTAAAAAAATATTTTTTTCCAATATAAAATTATAGAAATTATTCGTGAAAGAAAAAAAAAGACGAAAAATGAGAAAATTTTGAAATTTTGAAGTGCAAAAAAAAACACCGTAAAAATTTTGTTTACATCAAAATATCATTCAAATATCATTTGATAAAATTGTCATTACTGAATAACACTTTCAAACTTTGCTATTTCAATTGTGTAATATGAATGAAAAAGAAGAAAAAAAAAGATGAAATAAATGATGACCTTGAACAAATGCTGTTTTGGGTAATTTGATAAAAACTTTGATAGATGATTTATTAAGACAGAAAAATTTCTTATGAAAATATCGTTCAATATGAAACGGTATATGAAATGGCAGGTAAGAAGTAATATTCATTACTGATATCACTCGTACCGGATATATTTTCACCAATTTCGTATTACCGATACGACCAGGAATACATAACTGTAATTTGTTTTAACAATATTATACAAAATACAAAATTATGAGAGTGATAGCTAAAAATTATATGAATTCATTGTAAATTTATAATACTCGATTTAAGAAATTATAAAACTAAAAAAAAAAAGAAATAAGAAACTAAAAAAATAAAATAAAAAGAAAGAAATAAGAAATTATAAAACTCGATTTGTTGCTTTAGTAAATATGTAAATTGACCAAAAAAGATGCAAAAAAGGTAAAGTAACTGAAAAAATCAACCGATCAATTAATCAATCAATAATAAAAGATTCAAATTTAATTTCATTCTCGAAATCTAAAATGAACAAACAAAAAATTCAATGAACAACCTTAACAGCTGTTAAATATTCGATGGAACCATATTTGCCCATATAACTTCCCGGACATTCCTCTCCAATCACCAATTTTGCTTCAGTTTTATGTTGACCAGCTGGTGCATAAATTTTACCATTCCCTTTGCACCATTGTCGTATGAGATCATCAAATTCAATCCGAAATGTAATAATTTGTCGAAATTCTACTTGATTGGAAATTTCTGTACGAAATTTACCTTCGAAAAAACCGGTGAGTGAAGTAATTTGAGTTTTATGAGTAAAGTTGATTTCCACTAAAATTTTGAATGGCTGAAACGTAAAATATGATTAATATAATGAATGAAAATATTTGCAAAATTTTTTTTCTAAAAAAATCCTGAGAAATTTCTTAATGATTTACTTTTCTATAAACAATAAAATAATAAAAGTGTATTATTTCTAAGTAAGTGAATTTATAAAAAAATTGTAACTTCTTATCATTATTTGATGACATTATAGGTAATTACATTATTTCTCATCACAGTAGCAACGATAGATGATAATCTTTGTTTGTAATTTATGTTAATCAGTTAATACTGCAAATTTTTATCATATATAAATCATAAAAGAAAAAGAAGCAAAAAAAATTATAAGGAAGAAATGAAATTTAAATGCATTGCATAACAAATTATGCTCACAATTAAGTGAAGTTTTGTCTCATTTATTATCATTTTTTTCAAGTTTTTAAGTAATTTTGAATTGTTTCGTTTCTGATTTTCTTATTGCTGTTGGTTTCTCGATTTTTGTATTACTTTTGTTTACTTCCATACAAACTTTATGAAATCCATTCTTACTGCTTGCATTTTTATAATTTTTGTAATTCGTCCATGCCTTAATTTTGCCTTCTTTTTTGAATTCAATTCAGTTCTCGAACAGTCAACAATTGATTAGTCATGGAGAAAATCGAAAATGCAAAAAGAAGAAAGAAATACAAATACAATTTCTATCAAAACCGATAAATTTTGATAAAAAGAAAGAAGGAAAAACAACTTCATCAAAAGATGATTCATAAAGAAATTTATGAAAAGAAAAAAATATTCCTTTATTTTTCTAAAAACATACTTTCTTTCAGTTTGATGAATATAAAAAAAGAGATTATTTATATGCTCGAAATTGGTTGAAGAAAAAAAATTGTCGCTTGTTTTTCGTCACTTATCATTGATAAATTTTGAAAAAAATCAAATTGATAGGAAATGAATACGTTAAATGAATTAATAAATCAAAAAAAAAATTATTTAACAAATAGAAAAACGATAAAAATCACGAAATAGGCAAAATTTTAATTGGGCAATTAACATAATTAAATTAGATAAATAAAGCGTAAGTAATTTGTTGTTTTCCAATTTATAAGAAAACATTTTAATTTTTCACTTACTTTTCAAAGATTCTGAAAGCAGTACATTTTGAGACAAATGGGAATGACTAAAAAATTAGTTCACATTTGAAAAAATTTGATGAAACTTTAATTAAGTGTATAAATTGCTAATTAATAGCGAAAAAAGCTGCCAAACATGCAAATAATTAAATAAATAATGGGCAACGAGAGAGAATTGGAAAAAAAGAGGTAAAATTGATAAATTTTGTGTTTGTATTAAAATTATAATATATACACAATTAATGATGAATCAATTTATCATTAATTATTTTATCATTTCTTAAATTACTTACTCATTGTACAGCATTCATTTTCACTCTGCATGAATAATTATTTTGAAATTGATTTCAAATAGAAGGAAGAAAAATTTTTAAAAACTATTTTAAAATAAACATAAATTAAAAAATTGAAATTTATACGTAAAGTGTATAGGTAAAACCATATAAACAAAAAAATTTTGAACTATAATGAATAATTGGTTACGTTCAACAAGTTGAAATATTGAATAAAACTCATTGCTGGAATAGATTGATTGAATGAATGAACGAATGAATAATGGAATGAAAATCTGTCAATTTAAATTCAATTATAAAACACAGAATGATAAATTGGAGTAAAAATTTGTGAGAAAACTATTTCATTCATCATTTGTTTGTCAGAAATTTGTGCAGTCATTTAATTATAATGATATTTAATTACCATACCAAATATCAATTAATACCATACAAATATTTCTCATTAAACCGGTTAGTTGGTACCTTTTAAGTATTACTTGAGATATGTGAGAAGATTTCCCGATGATTGGAATAGTGAGAGGAAAAAGTTAACGAAATTTGATAAATTCTATCGTTGAAAATTTGACCATAGGATATTTTGTTTAACGATTAGTTAATAATATAATGATTGATTAAAATGATTGAATTTAAACGTGAAATCAAACAGTTCAAATCTTAAAAAGTTGCATCCAAACGTTATTTGGATGCAACTTTTTAATTATTAAAATTACAAAAAAAAAAAAATTAAATTTTCTTCATTTATTTACAACAATGTTAAAGGCTAAATCGACAAAAGTCATTTTTCATGTTTTATGAATAAAGAAATTTGAATAATCAGAAAAGCAATACGATAGTATAAGTCTATTATGGCTAAACAGCATAATAAGTATGATAAGAAAAATAATCATGCGTTACTGAAAAATCATATTTCATCTCAAAAAGTATATAAACATGGCATTTTATTTCCAAATAACATTAAATAAGATAATTTTATTAA